CGGTTGTGCTTGCCACCATGGGTCTAGACCAACATGATCCTCTTTTTTTTTAAAGTTCAAAGATGTTTTAATAATATACGTCTGGGAGTCTCCTGAGGAAGAAGAATACTGCAAGGTTCTGTGAAGCGTGTCGAATATAGTGTTCCTATCGCAGGAAGTACTGGCCTTTTCAATATATGTCTGTCAATGTGTATTGTAAATATTTACACTAATGTGAGCAACAAGAGGATATTAAGATCATTAGTATTGTATTATATGCTGGCCCAGCTGGGGAAAATGGGACAATCCCTCAAAGATGTGATTATATTGTGACTGTTATTGAATATATTTTTGATATGGATTGTTTTACTAATGGAATTGTTTTACCCAAAATAAAGACATTTCAAATATATAGACATGTAATGTGTAATGGTACCTTAAAAGTTTGGTGTATTACTAGGTGAAACTGTTCAAGAATGAATTTTCGGATGTGGTATTGGCCCACTCAAACAAATATACAGGGTTATTCAAAAAGAATGAACCGATTTCTTTACGCAATATTTTATTAAGGAAAAGTAATGCAAAACTCCAGCCAAGTCACAAGTATTATACTCATAATCAACTTTTATTTCCTGCCTTACAAGTGTTCAATGTGACCACCATCTGCAGCACGGGCAACATCAATGCGATAAGAGAATTCCCTCCCAGGTGCGTATCAGCATATCACGATCCACTGAGTTGATCGCTGTTGTTATTCGATGTTTAAGGTTATCGAGGTTAGTGGGTAGCGGTGGAACATAAACGCGATCTTTCACATATCCCCACAAGAAAAAAAAATCACACACGGTGAGGTCTGGGGATCTCGCAGGCCAAGCACAAAGAGCAAGGTCATTGGCCCCCTTCCGACCAATCCATCGCTGGGGCACTTTTTCATTTAAAAAACCTCGAACCATTAGGTGCCAATGGGGCGGTGCTCCATCTTGTTGAAAAATGAAGTCATGCGAATCTGCTTGCAGTGAAGTGAAGAACACGTTTTGGAGCATATCGAGATAGGTTTGTCCTGTAACGGTGTTACAAATGGTCACTGACTCATTCCATGACTATTCTTGAGAACTGAAGCAATGCATCATGATATCGGTTCATTCTTTTTGAATAACCCTGTATATCAAAAGTTTTTAGTTAACAACGTAAAAAGCATTATTCCTCTCATTGACATCCAATGTAAGGGGGCACTTTCCCAATGGCTATGAGTTTTTTTGATTCTGTCATTTTCCGTGAAAGAAATGATGGGTGTTAAATACACTAGGTATGCCACTTTACAAATGTTAACAATGCATTCCTATTTAACAAAGAGATCTGATTTGGATGCAATAAACTAAGGAATAGCAAAAATACTGCATACATATCTCACTTACAATTATTGAAACATTGAGGAATCTCAGTAGCACAGGTTGCTGCCTTGTGTTTCAAACAACAAAATGGTTATAGCACTTACTCTCTCATGCGCTTCAACTTAGTCTGTGCCATAGTGTCATTAATAGCGTTTGATGTCATGGGAATTGGTGGAGACATTTTGGTGGCAGTCTGAGTATCTATAAATCAATGCAGAGAGAGACAATGTAATTCACTGTCCAATTTAATGGCATCATGAAACACTGGAAACAAAAAGTGTAATGTGAAATTGCCTTGTTAGAAGCCAGTAATTTAAAACAAATTAGTAACAATGTGTGATAAGCTTAGAGGGCACAAATCAGAGACATTCCACTAGAAGGAATGACACCAGAAAAATGTTCAGTGTATGTTCAAGGTGTTCAATTACACATATAGTATATGTAGTGTATGGCATGCCAAGGTATATGAGTCCCTTGAAGAATTTGGGCAGTATGTGGGTTATTTTTAATTAGATAGCAAGTGATGAATATGCATGCTTTACTGTACGCTTGTGAAAAAAAGCCTGTGTTAATTGGCACCATAGCACACACAGGCTAAAACAAGGTAAATCAAACACCAGGCACCTTTAAATATTTACAGGATACAAGAGTAACATTTCAGGGTTAAAACCCTAAACAGTTTTATGTGATTCAGACCAAAATTAAGTCACTATTCATTTTTAGAAGTGCAAGGAAAGCAGATTGGGCTGTTTAAATGTGAATCAGGAAATGGGTACAGCAGGAAGGATGGAAAAGGTGTGATGTGCAAATTCCTCCTTGTATTTCAATAGAAAAAAAAACACTTTTGATGCCTCTCAAAAGCAAGAGAATATAAAAAGTAAAGTTACATATTAATACAGGTTGTTTCAAAAATAATTCTCAAAGGAACACTATCACCCCAAACAATAAAAGCTGCTATCAATTATAAAGTGCAGCACCTAGAGGTGCATGCACATACCTGCAGTAGGCTTTTGTCACTACAGTTGAAACGTAGGCCATTCTGAAATGAAAAATTCCAAAATGTCATGATAGTGTCAATACTTTCCCATCTCATTTTACCTCATGGTCATTGTGATGGGACAGTTGGGATATGTGGAAAACACTTGACACTACTCATGACTGTTGGAGGTCTTCCTGACTAGAACAGTCCAGTATTCAGCCATAGCAGGCTCCAGATGTCTGCACTATATACCTATAATCAGTTTTTTATTTGGTGGCAGAGTTGCTTTTAAGTGATCTTGTCGCCTTGCCCATTTAGGGCAAAGTAACATATTTTGTGTAAAGCTCACCTACAACCACATTATGCTTACCCAAGCCATTCCTTCCACTGTTACAACTGCCTCCATAATAACCTTGGCAGTTGCTGTCAGAGCCAGAGACTGTCAGAGGAAGTAGTGATATCATCCCCTTCTAGCCCCAAGTACTGCATCATGGTAGGAGATCACATGGTCCTCCATGCACCTAAGTACAGGGTATTTTGCAGTGGAAGCCACAGAACAAGGAGCAGCAAAGGAGTGCTGGGGAGGTGAGTATAAAATAAAGTGACAGTGTCACCTGTTGATGGAGAAATATGGGGGCTGCCAATTGCCATTGTTGACCCTATAATAATTCTAGCTACCTTGCTGTTGTGCTGATCTAGCAGCTTTAGTTTCTGAGTCAGTTAACAAAAGGAGTAAAATAGTTTACTTTTAATACCATCTGTCATGTTACACCCATATCCATGGTGTTACATGAAACATGGTCACATCACCAGCCCTCCACCCTCATCCCAACCCTCCCAACACCCCCCACCTCCACCCCCCCCTTACCTGAATCGTGGAGTTCTTCTTTCCACAGGCTCCTGACAGTTTTTGAATCTTGTGAAGCTGTATGTGGCTCTGCCCAAACAGCAGAATCATCCGTCCACATATCTTTTGACAGGATCTGTGAATGGGGAAACTACAAGTCTGCCACTGTGGCAGAGGGACTACCTCTCAATGGGATACAAGTACAGGGACTTCACCACCCTTGTGGTCCATACATACTTCCTCCCATCCATGATACTGAACGCCTGTACCAGACCATATCCACTGATCTTAGTTGCAATGCTTTACTGGCTCTAAAGCAAAAAATTATATTACATTAATTATTATTTTTTTAAGTAGACTTTGCCTTTAACTGCAAGGATTCATAAAATAACCGCTGTACAGTTTTTTTTGTTCTAGTCATCAATTAGAATAAGTGCAAAAATATTTAAGGGGTTTTTAAAAATGAAGCACAAAGAATAAGAGAAACATATTTTAATGGGATTTTAAAATATCCTCCTCTTAGCACAGATGCATTAGGACTTTAGAAGATTACTTCAAAATGGCTCTTTTAAAGGTATGGCTCAAAGTTTCCATTACCAGATCATAAGTATTTTACTATAGATTTTGTCTCCTTTTCCATTTATTGCCTTCAGCACTTACCTTGGACTCTCCCTAGTAATTCCCTGCTTAACTAGATCTCTATTTTCTTGTGTTAGCACATCTTATGTGTGGCATTAGGTGTGCAGCAGAAGAAATATCTGTCTTCTGAAATTGATATCTCAGTCTCATTCCTTTTGTTTTTCTGAATAATGATTTAAAGCTGACCTCAGGGCACGAACAACATTTACTACACTAATACCCCAATATTTAATCCTTTTTAGCCCAGAAACCCTTATTTACTTACCTGAATATGCTGTCATGGGAGCATCAGTGGTATGTCTTCTGGCAATGGAGACCGGTCAGTGCAAGTTGACCAGTCTTGTTTCTGCCCCTTGCTGTGTGATGTCTTGATGCTAGTGCTGTAACAGCACAGGACCCTTTGATAGACTAAAAAGCAACATGGCCGTTGCAAGAACTACCTTCACACCCAACAGTGCAAAAGAGTAAAGAACTGCAATATTGTCTGTCACAGGATCAATGATCACAGTTTAGATTGTATTTCCACTATTTAAAAAAAAAAAACCCTCTATATGTCCGTTATGTGTTCCTATTCACACAGCATACTGAAAAATTACTTAAAAAAATGTCTTACCTGTTAGATGTTTTGTTAAATCAGGCAAGATGGTTGATTCCAAGTTTTTCTTAGCCCTTTCACAGTGGTCTGTCCTTATAGAAAGACTTGGGACTGAAATTTGAGGATTGTGTTTATCTGGTAAGCTTCATTAACATACAATGGGCTAGCTACCTTAGACCCCTCACTCCTCACAGCCCCTCCTAATATTTCAAAGAAATAGAAGCTAGAAGAAATGTGAACCCTAAAAATCCTAACCCGAGTAAAAACAATTGAAACTGCGAGAAGCATTTTTTATTATTATTAGCTTATGCTATGTGAATGGGAACATGTAACAAACATAAAATAGGTGTTATCCCAATTTGGCTGTGAAAGTGGAAATACATTTTAAGGTAGAAATTGGGGCTCTTAAAGTGGAGTAGAAAAAAAATCTGTTTCATGCCTGGAGTTCAGCTTTAAAGGATAAAGGATATCTATACAAAAGTTGAATTAAGTTACCTCTCAAATTTATTAGACTTCTGGAACAACGTACCTGCATAGCTAAAGGCCAGGACATTTTCCAAATTCAGCATCATGTCTTTAATATCAGTGTCCTGTTAATTACAAGGGAACAACCACAAATATTTTAATCAGATTCATCATTAGCAATGTTTTACAGTGCAAAGCTGATACCATAAGTGTATATAAATACAAAAACAAAATGTAAAATACTGCAGTTTATCATTTCTAGGATGTGATGGCTGTATTAGTTTTCTAGTTTTAAAGCTATTTTTCACCTTTATTTCAACCCAGGGGTGACAATGTCCATTCACCCTACTATATCAGGAAAGCAGAAACAGGACAGGACTACAGCAAATTCAACCTCCCTTCTTCTCCGTAAGATATATGGAAGAGGTTCTATAGTCCCCAGAGATAATTGAGAACAATGTAACTGATAAGAATGCAGCACAGGCACAGAGCACAGGCAAGATGTTGTCAGCTGACAAGATTTCTGGTACGATCAGCAGATATTTTTTAGTATGTATCAAAGAAATAGAACAAAACACATTCAATGGTGTATTTAACACACCAAGAGGGATCAGATAAGAGAAGGTCCGTGTTCGGGTTTACATACCCTTTAGGAAGACAAATGGTCTGTGTAAGAAGGATTTCTATCTTTTGAAATAAAAATACACTAGATGATTTTTACTTCTCTTTGGGTTTTGTGATGAATACATGCTCTACCTTCTTTCAACAGCATTAAGATATGTTTCACACACTTGTACAACCCATTTCCAAATTCCACCCAGCAATGTTTCAATTACTCCTACAAATCATACAGAAATCTAATTTGCCCAACTTACTTCAGTTTTTCTTTTCATGTTCTACTACTGAGAGTCCCATGTTTCCCAATCAGAGCATTCAGAGTTCAATGACAGGTGCATGTTTGCTGCTGTGGGCCTCCTTCCAACCTGCATTTGATGTCCTTCTAAGCTTGATCAAATTGTCTACCTGAGAAGCAGTTTCTGACATAAACAAATACCCCTCAACACAGGCCCTTAACCTAAATGGATAGCAATTCATCATCTTAGGAGGCCACTCTGCCGAAGTACAGGCTGCTCAAACAGGATGTCATGATATTTAAATGGCTTGAAAGCAGGTGGGATCCTTTTATAGTTAAAATGAATCCCCTACAATGATTCAACGGCAGACAAATGTATGTAATGCACAGAGCAGTATGTAATGGACAGAGATTTACATATGCGCTATTATCATTTTGTATTGGTGCTTAAGAATACGTTTCTCCGTTTTTCATATGTCCAATTGTACAAAATCAATTAGATAAAACAATTCGGGTCAATATTCCAAAATATTCCTTTCTGTATGGGGCTCTTCTATGTAGTAAGATGAATTCCCCTTGGTCCTTCTCTCTTTGGACACACAGCTGCACTTGCAGACGGCTGGCAAAATAAGTATTGTTGTTCAAAATTGACCTTTCTAAATACTTTCAACAACAATGGGAAATCTGTGAAAGGTGTAGACCTCTCCATGTTACTATATGGCAGGGTGCAACTCAACTGTCACAAGGCTGAAAACAATGACCATTGTGGTAAATAACATACGTGAATTGAGCCTCTTAACATCTTAACAGGACACCTTATTGAGATTTATTTAACAAATTGTTTTTTTATATACGATAAGCATTTCTAAATAAATGCACATACAAATAGCATAATAACAATGAAATTGTTAACAAAGTTAACTAAAACAGCAAATGGCTATTCATGCATTATTTAGTGAAATGTGCCATATAGATAGCTTTCTCTAAGTCACTTTCAAGCTCCAAGATGACAGCTTATCAATATCCTGCTGTGATTTTATAGGCAATGCATCACTTAGCAGATATGTACCAGATAATCAAAACAAAGAACTCAGGAGAAAGGAATGGTTAGTCCTAGATAATTTCTTAATGTTTTGCTATGCTTGGTCTGATCACATACAGTATAGTAAACCTTTTACTATTGTATTAGTTTTGAGCATCTGAAAATAAGAAATGATTATGAATGAATACTTTCATCAACTGATACTGTATAGAGATTGATGCAGATCTGCTCAGTTTGGGAGATACAGTCTCTCTCTGCATTTCCACTGGCTTGTCCTGTGTTGTTTTTAATGACTGTGATGTTGCCAAGTATGACACAGCCCTATTTACACTTGAGCTGAATGTCTTTGGTCGGTTGGTCGTTTTTTCAGGTTTTTTTTTTTAGTATTTGTACAAAATTCTTTGTGTTTTTGCGCTCATTCCAGGCTTAAACATTGTTTTATTTTTTTAGCCAATGGAAAGCTAGATAGTAGGCAAGAGAATGCCCAGTTTCTGCATTTTCCTGCACATGTTTCAGGTGCTCCAATTGAAGTCTGTTAGGGCCAAAATGTGTGACTCTGCCCCAAAAGAAGCTCATGTACTTTTTCGAATGCCGAACCTCAAGCTTCAAGCATCACTACACTCAGGTGTGACTGGGCACGAGTGAATATAACCGTTAAATATAAAGCAAATACTTGTTTTGTTTGAAGCGCTTCTGGTGAAGCTTCAAAATGCTCTTCAAATTGCTCAGGTGTGAACAGAGCCTACATTATATCATAAGTATGTATTTCGTGCACTGCAAATTAAATGCAGCTAAAAGCTTATTGCATTTACCATTGACACATTGACCTGATGGTATAGCCCCTCCCACTACCAGCATGCTCTGCTTTTTGCTAATGTCCTAACCATTTTTATACCACAGACACAGCCTCTGGTGTAACCCATTCAGTAATGACTTACTTTGTAAGTAAGCTGTGGTGGCTGAGCAACAGGATTTACCTAACTATTAAGACCGTTGGGCACCTTTCCCTAACATACGCCTATTTTGTGTTGGTTAACTCGGAAAGGGTTAACGCTAAAGGACTAAGTGATGACGAGGGTGCAGGGTGAAGGACTGACTGATCACGCATAGGAGTGCCCCACATGTGTGCTCCACACTCTTGTTCCCATTAATTAAGCATGAGGTAACATCTTCTGCTACTGCTCCTTGTTGCAAATAACATGGGGATCGTCCTTGGTTGGATATTGCTATTTGCCTACAATGACCTGGTTACCTCCAGCCTTCTGAGAGTCTCCGGCTTCCAGCAACCTGTTCATTAATAACCAAGGCTTAACTCTATAACCTGAGCTATATTGTCCCTGCCTTGCAACATTTTGTGTCCCAAACATTTGGAGAGCAGTCCTTCTGTACCGGTTTCCTCCAGCTCTTAATCCACTAACAGCTCCAGTATTGCCTGCACTGCACCTTATAAAAGGCCTGACACTGACAGCCTAAAACATTGTCCTCTGCTTGAGTCCCTACACCCCTCAGAGTCTTTCTTAGCCCTGTAGGCAGCAGTATAACCAAGCTGTCTCTAAATCCTGTGTCCCTCAGTGAACTCCAAGAAATAGATTTCAAGGTAAATTAATTTTTGTTTTAAATAGGTAAACATGAAATATGTCATATTAATATTTTATCATTACAATTTGCAGCTTTAAAGTGGAGCTCGAATCAACTTTTATTTCTTTTAGGCGAGCCTAAGAGAAACACGAGTTGCCATAGCTGACCTCCTTCTGAGTATGTTAGTTGTCTGACTAAGGCTTCAGCACACTCTAATTCATTTTTTTACAAGCACACAGCAAGTGAAGTCACTGTGAAGTCATGACACCTTATCTCCCCACATACTCACTGGGTCAGTGCCAAAGAAAGCATTAAAATAGAATGATCAATATGACAGCAAACATCTACAATTTTCAGATAAGCAATTTCAGTCACAGTAATGCTAATGACAGGTTTCCTTTAGCTGTTCCATAGGGCATTCTCATCTTTGCCATTGCTGGCATTTTTCTGAACATGCTAATTGCCTGACTTATCGTCTGACCTAGAATAAGCATGCAGATCAGAGAAGTAATACTGAGATCAGAATCCGAACTCCTGATCTTACAGGCCAGTGACTTGGAAAGTTCTGATGCCATCAAATCATTGCAACTAGCCAACTGGCCTGAAGAGGAGATCACTAATGGTATCTTTCATATTACCCTAGTACAGGTTTCCTTTAAATTAAAACCACTTGAAAAATGAAAATTTGCAATGGTATAGAGGACATCTAGAAATGCTGCTATTAGCAAGCATTATCTATACATTTGTTTCAGGTATCTATATATGCATTGCCAAACCTGACCTTAAACACCTGGTGCTCTGAACAAATTAATTGTAGATGTCACATTGTTGTCACACCTGTTGATATGTCGTTTGAGTTATCTGTGCATCCTCCTCCTCCTCTATCAATTCTGTCTCACTTTCTTCAGAACATGAGTCAAAGCCATCTTCATAGTATTGGTCTGCTATGAGTGGATCTTCAGGAATATCTGTAAAATATAACAACATTGCATACACTGATTATTAAAATATATTCCAATAAAAAGTAACACAGTAACTGATAGTTTACATTGTTTAATAGATATAAACAAATAAGATGCTGACAATATGAGTTAATTTGATTGGAGATATGGGATGTCAATTGTTGGATGTAGAATACATATTGCTGACTGTATTATCTTGACTGCTTATAGTATATAACCATACCCTTGATCAATGTATAGAAAAATGTCTTATATACCAAGAAAAAAAGAGGGTCATGAAAAGAGGGGTATGTGGTACAAGGCACATAAACAGAGTGTAGCAGAAACTATGGCTCTGGGGGCACAACTGTCAACAAACCTATAGTCCTGAGATGTCAATTGCCCGATACGGCAATTGTTGGAAATAACTGTGTCACTGTGTCACTTTCTTGGCTGTGCAATATGGCAAACAAATGTAAATCACAACAGATGCATTCTAGATGGTATATTAACAAGGGTACAGGCACTACACATCAGTTATTAACTGAAAGGAATCAGGCTGATTTACAGTATTTTAAGGAAGATGTTACAGCAAATTTTAAAGCAGTCTCCTATAATCCAGTGAGAGGAAATGCCTCTAAGTTCAGCACAGCGGACCCTTGTAGTCAAGGCGGTATGTACACATCATGCTACCCAGGTACATCTTAAAGATCTTTTAGTCCAAATTCCATCATTTGTATTGGGAATATTCTTTTGTAAAAACGAATTCTAGAATGCATTGTTAGACACAGCTTGCGGTCTTTATATGCACTACTGCTTCCCTAGGCACTAGGCCACAAGCGCCTTATAGAAAATCCAGCTCTACTTGCAAGACCCATCTACTAGTAAATCAAGCAGCCACACACAGTCATATACAAACGTTTGAACACTCCAACTACAATTCCATGTTTTGTTGGTCTTCTAAATAAAAAGTAGTGTACATAAGCTCTGCGGAGAACAAGGATTCCCCTGTGCAAAGGTTCGGATACCCTATGAGTCGGGAACATCCTCTTTGACACAGTGGCGGATCCAGGG